ATGAAATGGACTAGAACTGCCTGATCCAGCAAATAATAGCACAAAATAACAAATTCAATTGAAAGCTCAGGAATACAATAGGTAATGTTTGGTATTAATATGCCCTATGGACTATTTAGGACACATGTAATTAGGCATGATTATTTGATCTAGTACTGCAGCCTCCGGGAAACGGGCTAGAAAATGTCAGTGACGTGTTTGATGAGTGCTACCCACTGTCCATGCAAGGTTTATTTGTTGGGGGCGTCTAAGAAGAGATAGCCTTCCACAGAGTCCTGTGACACAGAGCGAAGTGAGGAGAATATAAACCCAGGATCTGAGAATGGGCCTGCTACTGTATTCACCCCACCACAGCAGTCCCTTTCTCTTTCTCTACCTCATGTTTCCAAAGTTGATGGAACTTTAACTGCTCCACAGAAGGTGCAGGGGCGTGGCTTAGTGTGGAGTGGTGTGTCTGAAGTGCTCTGCTCAGCTGGATTTGTTTCTTTGTTTGTTTGTTGATGATACTGTAACTAGAGGTGTTTTGTAGTTTACACAACAGGGATTGTTACTGATGGCCGGCCTGGGCATATATCGTTCAGTAAAAGCCATGCATGTAGATGTCCTTAACCTTTTCCCAGACTCAATGACAACATCTCATTAGCTTTCATGTAATACAGAAGCTGCATGTGTGACAAAACAGCCAGAAGCAAAGGATTGTGAAGTTGCTGTCAGTTCAAAAGACACTGACTTCAAACTGAACCCCTTTCACCTTGAGTTTATTGACAGGCCTTTTCCAACTCTACTGCTAGGAAATTTGCACAATGCTGTGTAAGTCGGTCACTTGAACATACAAGTAAAACTTAATATTTACCTTTCAACCAATTGCTTCACTCTTTGGGATCCTTTTGAACTGCAGTTCTGTCTTTTCATGCTTTATCTCTCTCCTCAGGATAGGCTCATTTCATATTTTAAACACCATCAAAAGTAAGTACAAACACAAAAACCTCAGTGAAATTTCTAAGTAAGTTTCTCTTTTTGTTGAAATATCAGAACCAGAGTCCCCAAGACAAAATGTTTTTTTTAATTAAGAAATGTAAAAATCTAAAGATCACAAAAGAAAAATAAATAATTGGAAAATAGTCCCATGCAGAGCTGCTGCCACCCAGTGGTTATGTCTAGTAATACAAGATTGCTTTTTCTACTTAGCTGACTAACTAGTGTTTTTATTTAGATGCCATAAAGATTAAGAACTAGTTCTCAGTTTTGTCATTCTTTCTAAATAAAGTTTGTTAATACAATTTAGTCGAGCTATGTGCTCCAGAGAATATTTGGGTTAGCTTAGGGCATATAAAATGTTGAATGTCCCAGTGCTTAATTAGGAGTACTTAAAAAAAAAAAAAGTATATTTTAAATTAAAGAAAGAAAAAAAAATACATTTCTCTGGGCAAAATAATACTTGGACAAATTATTTGCAATTTGTATGTCAAGAAAAAGTTGTAAGCCCATGAATGGTCTTTTAACGAGTTGTTTCATTACCTAAGACTTAAGCTAATTAAACAGTTAGTATTTAGGTAAATATTAATGAGTAAGTAAAAGCCATAGAGCACAGTGGATAAGAAATACTTTCATTAAAATGATGATGGGATATGGGGTTTGAATTAGAGGGTTGTGATTCCAACACCCGGAATCAGGCAGGAAAATTATCCACATGATGCCAGCCTGAGCAATATCACAAGACAGTGTCAGAAGGAGAGAGAAGAGGGCTGAGTTTTAATGATGGAATTGAACTCTAGAGTAGCAGCAATATTACAAACTATTTCTGACCATTTCTAAATCATTATATAACTGTTCAGTAAATGGAATACTTTTAAAAGTGTCTAAATTTGTAAAGACTGACAAGTGACCTAAAGTTGGTTTCTTTCTGAATTTTGAAGGGGCAAACAATACTCATTATACTTTTAACACATCAGTACTGATTAGTGACCAATCTCATTACTGACTGTCTTAGTCTAGTTAGGCTGTCTTCAGAAAACCACAGACAGGGTGGCTCCTAACAACAAACTATTTCCTCATAGTTCTATAGTAGACCTCCAAGACCAAGGAACCATCAGAGTTGGTACCCACAGAAGCCTATGTCCTTGGCTTGCAGGCTGGCCCTGATTACGTTCTCACAGGGCCTTCCTTCTGTGCTTGAAATCTCTGATGTCACTTCATATTCTTGCAGGACAATAAGCATATTTGATAAGGGACATGCCTTCATGACCTTATGACCTCATTTAACAGATTCACCTCCCTATAAGCCTTTCTCTGAATATAGTCACATGACAGGGTTGCAGCCTATGACTTGGAAGGGACACTACTCAACTCGTGTTGAAGTTTAATGTGCACGAAGATAAAATATCTTTATTTAAAAATAATAAGCTTTATGAACGGGGGCATTTGTATTTCAGCTCAGTGGTCTGCAGGGAACGGGACGACAGGAAGGAAAGAAGCTCTTAGAGAAGAAGCTGAGGTGAGGTTTGAGACAATGGACAGCAAAAGGTGCGTGGGGCTCAAGAAACCGAATAACTGGTAACAATTCTCAGTGAAATGATGTTAAAACACCAGTGAAAAATCAGCGAAATGATGTTACAACATCACAAGGACTCTCTGGGTATACATGAGGAATATAATATATAAAACGCTGGTTGATAAGCAAGAATAGGACTGTTGCTGAACACACCTAATAGCCTGCTCCAGCTGGGAGCCACCTGGTTACAGATGGGGGGGGGCATCTTTTTCTTGAAGAATGACTTATGTTCCCTCCTCCCCAGAGAATTTCCTGTCCCTGATTTAGAACACACAGGGAAAGTTGTAAAGGCGAGTTCCTGCTAAGTTATCAAGAAACAAACCTTTTAACACTCCTGGCTGTGAGTACTGACCACAGTAAAAGAATCTCTAAGGTGTCTATTAACAGGCATATCCCTCCCCCATACATGCATATGCATGTACACACACAAATGCACACACTATGGCCTTCAAGTTTAAACTTAAATGGAAGTCAGATTTGGTAGGCCTTCCATTGAAGATTCAGAGAAGCATATGGAGGTCAGTGCTTCCGGTAATCACTTATGACTGAATGTTCATTGATAAGAATAAGGGATATAAACCAGTCCAGCAAGGACCTCAAAAGATTTTTGTCCCTAGCTGGGTGTAAAAATGTCTTTGTTTTTGTCCCAGATGGAGGCTGGGAATGCACAAGGTGCCTGTTCTGATATCTCTCTGTACTATGTAGATGAGCACCACTGCCTGGACATGACATGACTTGCTCATCACCTGGACAGTGAAGGTGGGCTACCAGTCCTATAAAAATGCATAGATTAGCAGCTGGACCCTCTTCAGCTACCCAGGGGCTCTGCCTTCTTCCTGTCACTTTAGTTCCCCCCTACCATCGTAGTACAAAACTTTCTAGATTTGCCTTCGTGTCTTTCTCTGACTTTGAGAGATAAGAACTCAGAGGAATTTCTCTTTGATGCACCCTGAGCCCTGAGTTAAAGCCTATCTGAAGCTAGGATAGCCATGACCTCCTCAACGACCCTACTTTTATACTCATGGACCCCGCTTTTCTTATGTCGGTGTGATCTACAAACAATCCTGCTTTTTCCCTTTACAGGCAGTAAAGGACAGAGGAGCTCTGTGGTCTTTCAACTCTTATTAGTGGAGTGCTCAGTTTTCTAGAGGATTTCACAGTTTCTAATCCAGATTTATTTAAATTGATGACAGAAAAGTTATCAGTTCACTTTCAAACGAGTCCAGTAGGTGTTATAAGCATCCTAACCAACTACGCCTTCTCTTGAACTAATTACTTAATAGACCATGATTGGTCTAGTCTCCTCCTAAGAATATCTGTGAAGGTTAAATGTAATTCTCAATCAGTTCTATCATTATGCCATATCGATTGTTCTTTCTCATTAGACAAAGCATTAATTTAGAGTTACAGTCTGAAGACAATAAATTTGTATTTTCTCTTTTAAATGAAGGGCTCTGATATAAAGATCTTAACACACAGAGGCTGGGAGAGTTAACTGTTTCTGACATCATTTTTGCCCAACTGAATTGACTTTTCTGAATCTAAAATAGTATCTATCCATCCATCTATCTATCTATCTATCTATCTATCTATCTATCTATCTATCTATCTTTTAATCTATCTATTCCTTAAGGGAGCAAATCATCACTCAGATCACTGTGCTTTCTGCTTGCAAAAGGTTTTCTTGTGTGGTATACTCAATTCATCTATGACATTTTGGTGTCTTCCTGGAAAAGCTCAATTAAAAGCAAGGCCATCAAATAACCACCAGCCTTAGTGTCTTTTGGCAAGATGGTCCTTGATAATATCTAATGTATTTTCTAACTCTTACTGAAGGATGAAATGATGCAAAGAGTGTCTTTCGCATCTTATTAGCAACTACAGCGTAAGAACCCAGAGTATTAGCACCCAGAATAATTGGGTAGTATCTGGTAGATCACTAGTGCAGGCAACAGTCAGTGCCCTACGTGGTCAGGTACTCCAAAATCAAAATTAATTCAGCACACAAAGATTACCCACCAAACGATATGCTAAAGGAGTCCAACAGTTATTTGTGCACGTTTTCTCTTTCTCACACTGCTCCACACTCAAGAATAAAGGATGAGGTTTCGCTAGGATCCCTTAACTGTGTGGCTCCTGAAAGATGAACGGGAGTTCCGACTAATTCTGTGTAACCTCAAGCAAGGGACATTTGATAAGCCGGTTGTCGCCTGTTTCAACTCCAGCAGTACCTGCACCACCAGCCTGCACCAGACAGCAGAACCCGGGCGTTCCATGAGGTTGGCGGGACGCAGACTTGAGACGCGGGAGGGGCGGGGTCTGTGGTGGCGGGAGGCCGAACGCATCCAGGGTTCAGGCCCCGCCCTCCTCAGCTAGTCCCGCCCCGACAGACCACGCCCGCCCTGCTGTCCCGGCTAAGTCCAGTGAGGCTCCGCCCAGTCAGGCCCTGCCCTGCTCCGCCTCCTGCCTGCGAGTCTTGCTGGTCGCGACTTGGCAATTCCTGCTCGCAGGGTCTACCAGCCTTCCGGCCTGGGCACCCGCCGCTTCTTAGCCATGTCTCAGCACTTCTCCCTGGCCGCCTGCGACGTGGTCGGCTTCGACCTCGACCACACGCTGTGCCGCTACAACCTGCCCGAGAGCGCCCGGGTGAGTGGCGCAGGCAGCCCCAGACGCACGGCCTCCATGGCGGCTGCGCAGTGTCGTAGGTCCCGGGGCGCTGGGCGGAAGTGTGCTTGCAGGGGCCCTGCGGTGCGGGAGGAGAAAGCCAGGAGCAAAGATAGCGCTAGACAGAGCTGGGGAGCCGGCTTGTGTGGCACTGGAAAGGCTAGGCTAGGGCCTTTGGGTGTCATTTGCTGATCTTAGTCCCTGGTATTTCTTTCCAACTCCCCTGGGCACCAGCCGGGTGGGTACAGCCACTTGTTTTGGACTTCTAGAAAACATGGCTGCATCATGGCTGCATCTTGCCTTTTGCACGCTCAAATAATCACTTGTCAGAGTTTAAGCACCGCAATCAGGGAGAGGTTGAGTAATAGTATTGTGAGAAACACTGGCCGAAGTCATTAACGTCTTAGACCTACTTTTGTCTTTACCAAGAGAAGAAAACGAGCATTTACTGTGCACCGCCTAGTTGCAATCTCAACAGAATCTACCCAGAATATGTGAGGGGAGTAGATTACTGTTTATAGGCTTGTATCCTCATCTTAACTGCCCTGCTTTCTCTGACCCTTTGGCTTCACAAGACACTGAAGAATTAAGGGTATTACAGTGAAAGATCTAGGCAGGACTCTGCAGCCAAATGACTTAGCTGGTTCGGGACACAAGCCACAAGGGTCTAGTTCTTTGACACTGGGCTGATAAACTGTGTTCCTTCTCAGTTTCCCCTGCAAGGGAGTGATGCGTGGTGCGTAGTGCTTGTCCCTGGTATGAAAAACAATTGTTTGCTATTTTGGTTTGCACCCAGAGTATTTGGGTAGTATTTGGAGATCACTAGTGCAGGCAACAGCCCGGTCTCGTCAGTGCCCTACGTGGTCAAGTACTCCAAAATCAAAATAAGGGTCCTGAACCACTCCTGTGTGTATTCTGCATACAGATGCTTAAAAAAAAAAAAATTGTGTTCCCTGCTGGTGTCATAGTCACATTAGGAGCTGATTTTGTGCGTGTGTGAGCATCAGACTTTCAGGATATGAGATCCACAAGATACTCTACTGCAGGTTTTGAATCGCAGTGCTGTTTAAAGGCTGACAACGGTATGCTGGCAAGTTTTTAATTATGCTTAGTTTTTAATTAGACTTAGGATTATGGAAATCCTAAGTCTCAGGGTTCTGCGAACTGGGACATACTTAGGGTCAGAGGTCAACCACACACAGGTAGGATCTTCTCAGTGGGCAGCAGCCTGTTAGAACCTGTCCTGTGGCACTGCGCACAGTTTTCCTCAACCCGACTTCTCCAAATGCTCACCATAAGGTTCTAATATTTGCTAGTCACTCTTTGGAATCTTGCCCAGAGCCTCCCATCTTCTTAGCGCCAACCTGACTGATACTGTCGTCTGTGTCCTGAGCGTCCTGGGCTCAGTTCTTTATGATGAGGTTGGGGTTAAAGGACTGCAGTGTGAATATCACAGTAACTTTTTTCTTGTTGGTGTGGTGTAGGTATACAGGTGTATATGTATGTGTGGGTGTACTTCACATGTTAAGGTCAGAGGTCGATGTCAGATGCTCTCCACCTTTCTTTTGAGACAGTTTCTCTCAGTGAACCTGGATCACCCCATTTCAGCTAGACTGGCTGGCCAGCAAGCCTACTGGATCTGTCTGTCCCTGCACTCCCCTCTCCCTGTGGCAATATGGATTCATTGTACTACACTGTAGAGCCACTATTCCAACATGCATTGTGCTAACATGAAGAGGTTGTAAACTTGTCTTAGTGACTTTGCTCATTGCTGTGACCACATACCTGACAAGAAGCAACTTAAGGAGGGATTTCATTTGGTTCATTGTTTCTACGGTTTGAATCCATCCTGGCAGTACAGGCACAGCACCAGGACTTGAGCTGGACACATTGTATCTATAGTCAGGGAGGAGAGAGATAAATGTTGGTGCTCTGCTGGTTGTGTGCACACATTTTTGTAAACTGGAAATCTAAACTAATCAGAACTAATTTCCATTTCGGGCCATCTACTCATTTTCCAACACAGCAGGATTATAGGGTTGCCAGATTTAGCAAATTAAAACACAGGGCACACAGATCAATTTAAATTTCAAAGTACAGAAGGATTCCTAATTTTTGTGAACACCCGACTATTCTATGGAACATGCTTATCAGAAAAAAGAACTATTTGCTATTAATCTAACACTTAGGTTTACCTCGTCATTCTTTATTTGGCAAATTCTAGTGGAAACCAGCCCTGTGCTATGGGCTGGCAGGGTGGGAATATTTATACATCAGAAATTGGCAGGTTTTAGAATCAGTTGTGGTTTTAGTTTATGACTAGCACAGGAATTTGCCTGTGTGCCAAGTATCTCTCTGTGCTTATCTGTTAACTTACATGCTGACAGTAGGTCTTGCAGGCAGGATCATCTCTCTCCCTCTCTCTCTCTCTCTCTCTCTCTCTCTCTCACACACACACACACACACACGTATGTGTGTGTGTATATATATATATATATATATATATATATATATATATATATATATAT